GTGCTGCAACTAATACAGGAGTTTTAATATCTTTGTAAGTGTTTTCATTTCTTTCAGGTAAATATCCAGGAGTGGAATTGCTAGATCATATGGTAGTTCTGTTTTTAACTTTTTGCAGAACCTCTATACTGTTTTCCAGAGTGGCTACACTAGTTTACATTCCCACCAACGGTGCACAAGGGTTTCCTTTTCTTCTCATACTCATCCAACATTCATTATCTCTTATCTTTTTGATAATAGCCATTGTAACAGATGTGAGGTAATATCTTATTATGGTTTTGATTTGCATTTCTCTGATAATTAGTGATGTTGAGCATCTTTTCATGTACCTGTCGAACTTTTGTAAGTCCTGTTTGGAAAAAAGTATATTCAGATCCTCTGCCCATTTTTTAATCAGATTGTTTGCTATTGAGTTCTATGAGTCTTTCTATATTTTGGATAGTAACCTCTATCTGATACATGACTTGTAAGTTTTTCTCCCATTTGGTAGATTGCCTTTTCATTTTGTTGATGATTTTCAGAAGATGAGAAATTTCATACAGTATTAGTGGGAGTAAATCAGAGTGCAATCTGGCAATACCTAGTGAAGCTGGTGAGCTATCTTCTCTAAAGCCAAGCAGGTCCACCTTGACATACATGCTCTGGATGCTTTAGAGTTGAGAGCAAGGTGTTATCCTCAGTGTATGATCCATATGTGGTAAAGGTTTTTCAGCCATTTTTTTTCAAGTCCACAGGGAGATAAATACAGAAAATGAGAAGCTTTTTAAGCAATTTGACACTTTCACCACATCTAAGAGTATGATTTTGTATTTTATAAAAGTATTGGTCTGAAACAGATTGGAAATAAGAAAAATGGCTAATTGACTCCTTGACCACACAGCCCGAGAGGAATTCTCACAGATCTACAGAGATCTGTACAGGACTGCTTAAAATGAGTGTGTGTGTGTGTGTGTGTGTGTGTGTGTGTGTGTGTGTGTGTGTATAATAGCCTTAGTATCCATCATTAAGAAAATGTGTTACAAGCTCCTCAATACGTCCCGTGAAAGAATATTATTCAACAATTAAAATCAATGAACTACATCTACATGACTGAGCATGGATAAGTCTCAGATAATTTTGAATTAATGAGTACATTGCAAAATGACATATTAGGATAATTATATAAAATTTAAACCACAAAATAACACTGGATTTCCTTATAAAGTAAATGGCTGACTACACGGACAGGAAAGACACACACCAACTTCAGAAGGAAGGGAAAATGGTGGATTGGATTGTGAGTGGTGGGAAAAAATACAAAAGCTTCAACTATGTATGCAATATTTTATTTCTTTTTTTAAAAAGCTGAAGGAAATATGGCAAAAAATATTTACATTTACTGGGTACCTGGATGTTGCATTTTTTCTACATTTTTATTTATCTTGAAAATGTCTCATAGTATATACAATATTTTATTTCTTTTTTTAAAAAGCTGAAGGAAATGTGGCAAAACTATTTACATTTATCATATCTAGATGGTAAGTACCTGGATGTTCATTTTTTTCTACATTTTTCCTACATTTTTATCTATCTTAAAAAATGTCTCATAGTAAAATCAGCCTCAGAATGTGACTTTTTTCTGATCCAGAAGGTTAAGTTGAACATACTGGAACATCTGGGGAACTTGATTACCTACAATGCCCAGGGACACCTTTGTTTTCCTTGTGATGTAAAATCAGATTTTAGCCTTACTGGCCCCTTCTATGCCTCAGGGCTAGAGAGGAAGCCCTGTTTCAGAGTCCTGGAGCAGATCTAGAGATGCCTGGCTTCTGGTCCTAGCTTTGTGCCTAACTTATTTGCGACAGTGGATTTCTCATACTTAAACCTTCATTGCCTTATCTGTAAAATTTGACAGACTGTTTTCAGCATTGCAGTTTTATAACTTACATAAATTATATATAAATGTATATTTGAAATGTTAAATAGACATAGCAACTTGATGTTCCTTTTACAAGAATACATGGAGTGAATACAGATGTAGGAATAAGATGAATATATGTGCAGTGGAGTCAGATCTGGGTTTAAGTCTTGCCTCTCTGCCACTTACCAACTATGAGCCTTGGTTTCCAAAAAAAAACTCTGATTTTCTGCTTCCTTTGATGAGAATCCTAATAAATAGCACCTCCCTTAGCTTGGAAAGGTTTGATGACAGTCTTATTGTTGGAGCTGTTATCACTCAGTCACTTAACTTTTATGCCTGAAAGGTACTAGAATAAAATCTCTAATGTCTGCTAATTGTAGACCTTTTCCAAAGATGGGATGAGCATAGCATGCCAATTATTCTTTGAAGCCATAATAAAGTAGGTACAAATTCTCTAAACTAAATTGTGCCACATTCTTTAAAATTTTTTTTATGTTTATTTATTTTTGAGAGACAGAGAATGAGTAGGGGAGGGGCAGAGAGAGGGGGATACACAGAATATGAAGCAGGCTCCAGACTCAGAGCTGTCAGCACAGAGCCCGATGTGAGACTTGAACTCAGGAGCTATGAAATCATGACCTGAGTCGAAGTCTCACGCTTAACCAACTGAGCCACCCAGGTGCCTGGGCCATATTCTTTATAATCATGCATTTGAAGTAATTTAGTAAAACTTCAGCAAAAGTTCTCATCACACACACACACACACACACACACACACACAAAGATCAAAGTATATGAGATGGTGGATGTTAACTAGACTTACTGTGATCATTTCATAAAAGATGTACATTGATGTACATCTTGGACTAATACAATGTTATATGCCAAGGATATCAAAACCAGAAAATAAAAACAGGAACAAACAAGAAACAACAAAGTCATTTAGAAATGGTCCTGTCTCCATGCAGGACCCTAACGATGAATTATGGATTACTTCCGCTTCCGACACGTTAATTCTCTTGTGTGGGCTGTGATTGAATGGCCCTAATTGTTTACACAAATAAACTTGAAACCAAAAAAAGTGAGAGTACACTTGATTGTTAATTTGTACAGAATGTACCAAAGCAGAACCATAGGACAGCAGGGAAGGACAGTCTGACAAGATTTGCGTTTGTGAATCTCGAAGTCAGGCTATGCTTTGCAATGGAACAGGAAACCTGGACAGCCGCCTGCCCTGCCTAGTAACACAAGGCACAGTTAATGTGATTGGGCCTCTAGTTCTGCTGACACATTATGTGCTGACTAAGTTTTTGAAGACTTGGTTTCATAGAGCCATGTGGTATCACAGGGGTCTGGTGAATGAAAAGCTTTTGCAGCTTATCAGCAGAAAGATAACCGAAAGGCCCTGGTTCCACTACCAGCGCTGGGGAGATGTTTATCACCCGGGCTTCTGAGAACAGGAGTTTGAGCCATACCAAACACTTCAGAAATAATGTCAACATACCCAGGACCACAGCCAGCAAGGAATTCCCTGAGATAAGATTACAATTTTGTCCTTAAAGGGACGCCAACCAAGTCAGCGGATCCCCAAATATTCCCTGAGCAGAGCAACCCTGTATATTATCCTTTATACCAGGGGACTTTAGGACCTCGGTTTTCGTGCTACTAGATGCAAACACTCAGGTTGTTTTCCAAAGTATACACAAAACTCTAGCAGCGTTGAAGATCCCCACAAGGTCAAGAGCCTGAGCTTGCACCCCTCAAGGTCAGCCAAAAGGTCAGCTAGAGACAGCTCTCTATTGGCAAAATTATTCATTCACCTTCCTTTGGGATTTTGTTTCTTCTCTGTTGGCTACATCTAGGCCAGGGGGCCTCTAAAGCCAGATTAGTCCCCCAGGCGAGGTCCAGGATGAAGTTATAGGACGTTATAGGAAAAGGTGATTGCATCTTTGAAAGGAGTAGGTATAAAAAACCACCTCAGTCATGTGCTTGGTTTAAATATCAGTATGCAAACTGGCGCTGGGGCAGTGGGCCCATCAGGCGGCAAGGCAGGGCGGGTCAGGTACTCTCCCAAGACCATTTTGCAATGAGAAGCAGCAGCATGTAGAGAAATGACTCGCCTTTGATCTGTCATCCAGACACTTCTTGCTTTGGAATGCCTCACATTCGTTCCTCTGTCCCCCTGTGCGCAACCCCAGTGTGGCCTTCTGGATTCTGACTCCTCCTTCTCAGAGCTATGCTATCTATAGTTACCAGATTAATTAACCAAACAAAAGCCCTTTTCATTGTGTATTTTCCCAGCAGAGCCTCACGGTAAAGGTCATATACCTCTGGTTGATTATTAAATGACCTCACTAATACTTTCTATCCAGTTTTTCCTTCTCCATCAAATCTTTATTTCATTCAGAAGATCTACTTATTGGGGCTGTGTTCACTCACTTTTCAATATTCGTACCTCTGTACTTTTGTTCGTGCTGTCTCCCTCTTTTGAAATTCTTTCCCCCCTTCTCTTCTATTCAGACACATCTCTTCCATTAAGCCATTTCAGACCAATCCTGCCTACACTGATCTGACCTTCCTCTGAACTCTGCTAGCTTATCGCCTAAGTCCATACCAGCCGTGTGGCAATTAATCACATACCACTTTGTGAATTTGTCTTTATTTTGCATGCTCTGTCTTGCTCTTTCACTCTTCTTTCACACACACACACACACACGTGTGTAGCTAGATAAGGGGTCTTTGAAAAAAAAAAAAAACTAGGTCTTCTATGTCTTTAAAATACACTACCCAATAGGCATTCCATGACATTGTTTTGGGTTTGTAATTCTTCCTTAGGATCTTAATTTTGTTTCCATGAAGGTAGGAATCTGTCTTCTCTGCACTCCTGTATCCACAGAACCTGGAGCAGTGCCTGGCACATTATAAATTGAGTGTCAGCTGTTACCCTCTAGAGAGGGTTGCCTTGACCAGTGTCTGCAACTGGTCTTGACATTCTGCCTTGTATCCTAGCTTCCTGAGGATGGAGTTGTCTTACTCCCAGGCCGGCTACCTCCCTTAACTGCCTCTGACATGGCTATATCCGTCTGTTCTTTCTCCTCAGATGCATACTCCCATTCCTCAAGCGAAAACGGAGGCAAGTCAGAGTCAGTGGCCAACCTGCAATCTCAGCCCTCCCTGAACTCCATCCACAGCTCCCCAGGTCCCAAGCGTTCCACTAACACTCTTAAGAAGTGGCTGACGAGCCCTGTGCGCCGGCTCAACAGCGGGAAAGCAGATGGAAACATCAAGAAGCAGAAGAAAGTACGAGATGGCCGGAAGAGCTTCGACCTGGGATCTCCCAAGCCTGGGGATGAGACGACCCCTCAGGGAGACAGTGCAGATGAGGTACTTCCATGTGGCCCTGGAGCCTCGATCCGGAGGGGGCTTGTGACGTACATCTTTCCTGGAACCTTGTGAGGCATTCTTCCATGGGTTCTGTAAACCAGGCAGCCTCTGGTCCCTAGTAGTTTGTGTTCTTGAGCCCAAGTGAGCTGAATTTTTGTTGTAATAGGACCTTGCCAGTATGATGTGTGACCAATTCAGAGACTGGCACATAGAATTTCCAGCAGGTGGCCAAAATCTTGCCAGATTTGGAGATAGGGTGTAGGCCCAAGGGAGTCATCTGGTCACCTAATCTCATGCCTCTACTAAGGACTACATCAAAGCCTGCTAGTTAAAAATAAGAACAAAAGCTGAGAGATTATAGCTGTTTTCAAGTATCTAGGGCAGTGCCACATATAATAGGGAGTGCACAACTCCATGTTGCTCCAGAGGAGAGAATAATGACTAACAGGTGAAGGTTTACAGAAGGCAAGGTTTCAGCTCAAAAAGGGACTTTAATGGGGGTCAACCAGTGATGAGGTGGGCTGTCACGAAAGCAAATTGGGACACCACATGACCTCACAAAGCATTTGGAGAGGTCCCTGTGTTAGCCCAGAGGTCAGACCAGATGACCTCTGAAGTCCCTTTCAGACCTCAAATTCTGTAATCGAAATACAGTGGGTACATTTTAGTTGGAGGAATGAGAGCTATTTTTTTTTTCTGGCAAACCTGCTCTAGTCCCTGATGTGGCTAAGAAATTCTTCCTGCTGTGTAACTAGACTCTCTTTGTAATTTCGTCTATCTGCCATTTCTCTTTCTGAGAATGACAATAGAGGCTAGTGATATTCAGATTGTGGTTTAATAGTCCTTCAAAAGCTTAAAAAATTAGGCTCTCCCTGACCACTCTCAGCTTTATCTTTTCCTGGCTAATCAAGGAAGTAGATGTTCCGTGTGTGTGTGCGCGCGGGCGCGCGCGCCTGCGTCTCTGTGTGTCTCTGTGTGTGTGTGTGTCTGTGTGTGTGTGTGTTTTCCCCCCATTTGAACCTCACTGTCTTTGAGATAGGAAGGTATACCCCTTCCACAGAGGAAGACAGTGAGGCTAAAAAAACAGGGATGCGTTGAGAAACGAGATCTTACATGTTACTTTTTTAAAGTGCTGAACTATTGGTATCTTTAACTATATAAAACATATGACTATAAGACTAATACTGCTCTTTTGTTCTAGAAGAACAAGAAAGGATGGGGTGAAGATGAGCCAGATGAAGAGTCTCACACCCCTCTGCCTCCACCTATGAAGATCTTTGACAACGACCCTACACAGGATGAGATGGTGGGACTTACTTTCTGACTTGAAAGAACAATGTGTAATACGTGCAATTTTGTTGTGTGTGTGCAGTGAGGGTGGTAATACTCTCTCTCCCTTGTTATCTCTCCAAATCCATGGTGATCTATATTTGGTAGGTGTCCCCACCCTCAGCCCTGGGGTCCTGATTTCATTTTGGGCAGGGTAGGGGCGTGCAGAAGTGGGAATCTGTCTGCTGTCTCATCCTGTTGATGTAGGGTAATGTCTCTGTCTTTGGAAGCTGTAGATCCTAAAAGGAACTATTTGTCTCAAAAGGAATCTGAGGTGGTTCCAGGCTGTGATCCCTTTGTTGTACCTGACTTCTGACTTCTGTGTTAGTTGATTGTTTTCCCGATACTCAGCTCTAAAATCCAAATAACGGTAACTTCCGGTCGGGCTGGTGGTAGGAAAATTCTGCAAGCACCGCGTGAGGGATGGAGGCGCTGATGAGGGGAGGTTGCCGGCAAAGGTGGGAAAGCCTAGGGTGCAGGTTTTACGAGATCCTCCGAGTCACTGGCATGCAGAAGCTCACTGGTGTCTGAAGTGCGGGTGTCTCCATGGGCTCTACTCGCAGAGCGTCCGCCCTGATGTCTCTAGAGCAGAGGCTCGGCTTGGATGTGCTTTCAGGTGCTGGCTGAGGCTCGGGGCTGCTCTGACTGCATGCTCTGTCACTCATCTTCCTTGCAAACAAACCATGCTTTCACCTCACTGGGGTTTTCCTGCCTTCTCTTAGTGCTGCTGTCCTGTTGGATTTGCCTGGTTGGAGTGGTGGTTTCAGGCTTTAACGGTGCTTTACATTTTCTTCTCAGAGTGGTTGGTGGTGGTGGTGGCGGCGGCCAAGCCATCCCTCCAGGGTCTCCTTGTGTTGTCTTCTCCCCGGCCTTGCAGTGGTACAACCTCCTCGGAGGTGCTGGGCCCAGCACGGGCAAGGGACGCATCTTCACAACACCACCTGGGATACAATTCAGGACGTACTGTTTGCAGACACTTCAGCATTTCTGGTGATATCCCCGTTCTTGTTTTAATGCCCTCTGCTTTGCATTTGGATCATTATTAACCCACAGACATGAGTTGAGATCTCCATGGGTGCCACGCTAGAGGGACAGCTTCTAAGTACAGGATGATGACTGAGATGCCCCCTTCTGTGACTCAGTCTTGAGACATGCCCCCAGTTGTGTGGCCCTCCTAAGGTGATGTTGGTGGCCCTGACTCTTAACCGTTGGGAGGAAAAGTAGCAGGAAGCATGGCGTGATGCCCATCCTAGATTCCCAGGGGCAGAAATGCCCATGGTTCACACTGAGGTCGGAATGAGAACCAACCTGCTGTGTTCCCAGAGGCCTATCCTTATAAAATGTTCCACCAACAGTGACAGCATATGTGGAGAGTGGGGCGCTCATGTGACTGTATCTGCCACCCCACACAGCCCTCCGCATGGAGGAGCCAGCTTGCTAAGATAAGTAAAGGTCACGAACCCTCTCCCTCAAATTCCCTCAAACACATCTTGTTTTGGGAAAGAGGATGTTATGCTGTTTCTGGATAATCTTTAACTGAAAATACGGGACTTACCCCAGACATTCATGTAGCCTTTTTGTTACCTAGAAATAGGGCAGACACATTAACCCTCCTCAGTCCTGCTTGTTTGATTCCTGTACATTTGTTTCTCTGAAACATTTGCTGAGCCACAGAACTTCTAGCAAATGGAGTTGAACTTATTAAAATAAATTTTACAACAGACTATAAGGAATTTTTAAGTCTACATATTGTAATATTAACTGATCACCTTGATTCTCCATGTGTCCTTCTGATAACTGTTTATATGCATGCATGTTTTATTTTTAACCTTTTTAATATGCGTATCTTATGTTCAATGTTTTACTTGGTATTTTCTAAAATCATATTAATTTGACATTCATAAGTGTAATTTTAATAGCTGGGAGTGTGTTACTTATGTGATGTGCCATAATTTGCTTGACCAGCCTGTTTGGGGATATCCTGGGTTGTTTTCAGTTTTTGCTACCCTAGATAACACTGCTACAGATCACTTTGTACATACGGAATTTGTTCTTTTGACGTCTGTCCTTGGAATAAGTTCCCAGGGGTAGGATTACTAAATCAAAAAGCTGATAGCTTGGATTTCCAAACAAACTTAAGCTCCTTTCATGCATTCTCCAGAAGAGGAAAAAGAGTGTTGTTCTCTCTCTGTCAATTACATTTATTTGACTTTTTTCCTTTTTACCCCGTCTCAGAAGCAAAGACCTAAAGTAACTCTTAAATTAGACAACAAGTAGCTTCCTTTTTGAACTCTTCCCTCTAACTTAAGGGACAAACGCGAAACCAGAGCATGGCCAGAACATTCAGCTTTTTACCCTTGCAGTGATCAGTGTCAGACACTAAGGACCAGTGTCCGGGGCCCATCTGCTTTGCCTTCCACTTTGCTGTGCCAGGGGGCAAGCTCACACATGCATGCAGGGTTAACCATTTCTCCCCAGTTTCTTCTCAAGTAGCAGAAGAAAGACAAAACCACTGTCCCTCCATGAGCAGGATTCCCCAAACCAAAGGCCAAACAGCCACATAGACCGGTCCCTGTTGCTGGTAGAAGGGGATGGGCAACAGGCCCTTGGCTTGAGCCTCCTTTACTGTGAATAGGATAGTCCCTGGTCATTACAGCAAGACACGCACAATTCCTCGCTAAACTCATTTATTATATCCAGGTGTTCCAGTTAGGGGCCTCACCAGGAACAACTCTGTGTGTGTGTGTGTGTGTGTGTGTGTGTGTGTGTGTGTGTGTGAATGCATGTACGCACATGTGAGTGAGGAGGGAGTTTCTAGCTTTATGGTCTTTAAGTGCTGTGCCCTAGAATTTTTGTTTGGTACACACTGGAGATCTGTATTTTAAATCTGTACTTAACTAAAGCAAAAACAATTTCTCTTCTTTGGATACATTTGAGGTTAGGTTTATGGACTCCTTTCATACCCTGGAAGAGCAATGGGCAGCCCTCTAATGGCCAAAGTTCTGTCTATCCCTCTCCCCCTATTGATGACAGTGGGTGCAGCCCTTACCTATCCTCCGCCCCGCCCCCCCCCTCCCCCCCCGCCCCGGGAACTCAGCAAATCCTGCCCTCAGCTGCTCCAGAGGCCTGCCTAAGGAGAGCCTAGTCATCTCCCTGCTTTGCCGCTGGCCAGAATTCCTGACAAGGGGACAGACGGGCCTGTCCCATACCCACACCACCTCCTATCTCCCTCTGTGATCTCTTCCCTCTAAACATAAAGCTTTGCTTCCCTTGCCTGCCTTGAGCTTTGGACTTGCTGTTTTGCTTCCTAATTGCTATTCCTCATTCCTGGCTAATCTGCTTTTCCTCTGCTGCTCAATGTCTTGCAGTCCTCCTCTTTGCTAGCAGCCCGGCAGGCTTCCACTGAAGTACCTTCTGCTGCAGACCTTGTCAGTGCAATAGAACAATTGGTCAAAAGCAAGCTGGTAAGTGAGGGTCCTGGAGGCAGTTCTGGGTGTGTGTCACCTCCAAGCAGCTCCCAGGGCCTGGCATCTCTCTGCCATGTCTTCCTTTGCGCCTATCCTCATTCCTCTTATAGGATTGTTTGTGGCTAATGATTGTCTCTAAAAACCTGTGCCCCAAAGCCTTTTTTTTTTTTTTTTGGCTTTTTTTTGGGGGGGGGGATTGGGCATAGGCAATTAATAGGGCCTTTGGGGATTGTGGCTTTGATGAAAGGAAAAAAAGGTATCCAAGAAAAAATAGCCTTCCTGTGAGCCCAGTCCCCTGGCCTACAGGGACACAGCATTTGGACAGTGACTGCTGTGTGTCTGGTTAGCCCTGAAGCTGACTTGGCTGCTGAGACACAGAACATGGATTGGATCTTTGAAAGCACCAGGTAATTTTATTCGGGGACCCCAGACAACTTTCTAGATTGCAGAGTCTCACAGCAGTAGTTTGCTTATTATGAAGGGAATGGACAAAAGCATATGGATGCCTCAGCACAAGAGGTCAGGGAGCTGGTGTGTACTCCATTCGTGGGGGCAAGCCAAACTTAGGCCACTGAACACTAGCCTGGCTTGTGACTGCCTCAGGGGCCAGTCAACCCTTGCAGAGAAGGGTTCCGGGTCTGGCTGCTGTAGGGTTTTGGCCCCATGCTGGAGAAGGAGCTTGTTTCTGGATAATGCTGTCCCTCTACGCCATGTTGGTATGCCAGTGTGTATCTCTACAGGCTGACAATTTGAAGTATTTCCCTTGCCTTCACACTTATCCAGGTTTGGTTTTTCCTGCGACTCTCGTTCAGATAAATGTCTATGCTTCTGCCAGACTTCTGTTGGGCAGTCCTGCTAATCAGCACCATTTAAACCCTTCTCCCCTTGGCCCAGGAATTAGAGGAAAATGATAGATGCTGTGTAAGGAACACCACCTGATGATAATTCTGATTACAGTAACTCGCTTGTCAAATCTCCCAGCTTAGAGAATACCAATGAAATTCAACACATGACTTTCTTCTCCTCCTTCTAAGTTGTCCTTTCTAACTCAGAGTAGTTCAGCTGATGTCTTTAGGAGCTGTGACCAGCTCTTGAAAACTGTCCATTTTCCCTGCCACCCTCCTTGCCTCGCTGGTGGGATTTGAGTGTTCTCGTGGGCACTGCATTGGCTTCTCAAAGCTCGCCTCTCTGACCACTGCCCTCTTGCTCTCCTCTCCTTCCCATACGGACCCACACAACCTCCTCATTCTCCAAATACCATTGTTTTTTTCCCCTTTCACTACCTGAGCCTGAGTCCTGACCTCATGCCTGGACTATTGCAGTACTTGTTGCTTGATATTCCTCTGCCCCAGTCGGCCTCTCCCACCCCGGGGCCTCAGTCTTCTGGCGGGTCTTCCACAAGCACTGTGATTGCCTCCCTCCTCACTGAAGGCTTACTTACTTACCTCTTGCCTACATGAGCGGTGATCTCCGATGGGAGAAGTGCCTTCAGGTACACAAGACACTTTACTGAGGTACAGGAAGATGATTTCAGACTCTTCATCTCATCATTTAAAAATTATTTGAGGGGCGCCTGGGTGGCTTAGTCGGTTAAGCATCCGACTTTCGCTTAGGTCATGATCTCGCGGTTCGTGGGTTCGGGCCCCGTGTCGGGCTCTGTGCTGCCTGCCCGCTGGGAGCCTGGAGCCTGTTTCAGTCTGTGACTCCCTCTCTCTCTGACCCTCCCCTGCTCATGCTGTCTCTCTCTCTCTCCTAGAAATAAAAACATTTAAAAAAATAAATAAATAAAAAATAAAAAAAAATTATTTGAGGTATATTTTATCATGTACATAATAATAAGACAGCAGCCCAGAAATATAATTTATAAATAAGTGACATGTTTTAGCAATGCATGACCAAAATTGTGTTTATTGATAGAGGTATATAATCAAAGATAAAAGATAAATATGAAGTTCACACTTATCCCGTACTCTAATGTTTTGTAGCCAGCCTACACCCACTTATTTATTCTGGTTGATGAACTCTGCTCCAACCAAATTATTTCCCTCACTGCCCCCAAACAGGCACTTGGGTTTCCTCTCTCCAAGTTTCTGTCCATACCACCACCCTACTTTTCAGGAATGTTCCCCTGCTCATTTTTGCTTTCTAAAGCATAATAGTCCTTCAAAGCTCCACTAGAATCTCATGTCTCCAGAAAGGCTTCCCTGACCAGCCCAGACCAGGTTTCCTCTGCAGTCCCATGGCAATTACTGTGTAAGCCACATGCTGCCAGGGTCAGCTCTTAGATAGTTCCATTTGTGGGCTATTTGTGGAAGTATCTTAATCTCTTCATTGTCTTCATCTTCGCAGCTTCCCTATGCAGCTAGATGACGGGTCATTTAGGACATTATTTTCTCCTCCTCCATTAGTAAACACGAGTCCCTCACACTCACACTTTCATCAGTACACACTTGTTTCCAAAAGGCTATATTTTTCTATATTTTGGGTTACCTTTATCCTACTATTACTGCTAACCTTAGCACTTTTGGAAGTCCCTGCAGACTCTAGTTATATGGTCAGCATGTCTGGTGTTAAACGGGTAAGTGTGGATATTGAGAAGCCCCATAAGATCAAGTCTCCCAGGGGAGAGGGAGCATAGGATGGCGCTGGAGCCGATCAGCCCAGTAACAGGCTCTCAGCGGATGTCTGTGAGATGAGTGGTTTTTCTGTGGCACGTTTCCCATAAGAAGAACTTTAACTTCCTTCTCCACCAATAATTACTTCTTGAGGACCTGCAGCGAACCCAGAATTATAGAGATTTCTTTGGCCAAATGTGAAACCAAGCCCATATCATGGAGAGGAATAAGGGAGCAGGAATTTGTTTTCTCAGAATCTTCTCACCAAAATTTGATCCTTTGTCCTGTCTTCTACTTTCTTTCTTCCCATCCTAGTACATACCCACTGTGGGATAGCAATGAAGCAGCAGTCGATGGTTGTCTCCCCAGCCATATTTGGGAATCCTGAGTTGCATTCTTACCTCTGAGACTTTATTTTTATTCCTCATTAGCTCCTTAGCTTAAAAGAGGGTAGGGTCTACGGGCACCTGGGTGGCTCAGTTGGTTAAGGGTCTGACGTTGGCTCAGGTCATGGTTTTGTGGTTCGTGGGTTTGAGCCCTGTGTCAGGCTCTCTGCTGACCGTGGGAACCTGGAGCCTGCTTCAGATTCTGTATCTCCCTCTCTCTCTCTGCCCCTCCCCTTCTCCTCACTCTGTCTCTCCCAAAAAATGAATTACTATTTCAAAGTTTAAAAAGAGGGTATAATCTAGAACCTATGAAAGTTCTGGAGTTTTTATTTGACTATAAGTACAACAGTGTGACTGCTGCCAAAATAACTTGTGTGGTCATAGGCTAGGTTAATGAAAGTACAGGGTACAATCAAGGAAAGTAATAGCTCCATTGTAGTCAAAGTTCTTCAGCCCATACCGGCCATGAGTAATGTGTGAGTCATGTATCAGGCTCTGAATACCACATTCTGGCATGTTCTTGAACTCAGTGAAAGGCCCCCAGAGGAGGTAACCAGTACCCTGTGGTCCATATCCTTTGAAGGAAAGTTGAAGACACGGGGTTAAGTATGGGGAGAAGTTAGGAGGGAGAAGGCTCATGAGAGCTGTCCTGACATAATCAAGGACTGCTGTGGGAAAGAAGGGTTGGTCTTACTCTTTGTTGCTCCAGAGGGTGGAGCCTAGACCTGTAGGTGGCAGTTATCTTAGTTCAGTATAAGATGAGCTAATAAGTTCCTTTCCTATGGACAGTCTGGAAATTTTACAGGTGCATCTAGTATACTTGGACTTTTTTATAGCTAGGGCTTGGATTCTTTCTGCTTTCTCTTTTGGTTGCTCCAGAGATAGCACCAAATTCTGCTCCACCCAAAAGCCCTGAGATCCCCTTGTGTCTCGGAGTCCCAGAGCTGTCCTTGGTGCTTTATGGTCATGTGGCCATGGCTGTACCAAGACAAGGCGTCTGCCCAGAGGTGCCCCAGAGCTGCTGGTAGGAAACAAGGGTAGGTGCTCTCTAGCTCACCTGCAAGCTGCAAAGCCCTTGCAGCTCCCCCAGAACCTTCTCTGGCAAGTCCATCTGGACATTAATGGATACTTGGGCTCTTATCTGCCAGCCTTGGTCTTTAATCACTGCTTTTATTTACCAGGAGAAGATGCCCACCCACCTCTCCCCAAATAGAGCTAACACATTTTTTTCCACATTTTGTCCTAAGGTATAGTCTCTTACTCCAAGCCAGGCATAAGGACTCCCCCTTCTTTCCCTGTGTGATCTTTCTTTTTATTTTTTTAAGTAAACCCTACCCCCGATGTGGGGCTCAAACTGACAACCCCGAGATCGAGTCACATACATGCTCTACTGACTGAGCCACCCAGGTGCGTTTTAATAAAGCTTTTCCTAGACCTGTGGACTAGTGGTGGCAGAGGTGGGTGTGTAAGGAATCAGAGATCTAGGTGCTAGCCCTGCCTCTGCTACTTTCTGTGTAGCCTTGGGCAAGTTACTTAGTCTACTTGGGCCTCTCCTTTATCTCCTTTATCAGCAGCGATGATTCTGTCCACCTGAATCTTATCTCAAATGAGATACCATGATGATTGAGCAGGTGTGAATGTGCTTTGTAAAATGATAAGTAAGCATCCTACAAATGTTAGCTCTTAGCCACCTCATTTGTACTAGGAATGGCAGGGAAAGGGAACCATGTCATCCCTTATCTTCCACAACCCTGTTCTGGGCATGGGAACATAGAATGTGTCAGCCAATGGATTACTGGTTAGGTGAAAATTGCAGGGTGATAGCTTAACAATCTATATAATTTGGTTTTATCCCTCAAGTTTGAGGAACAAGAGCTTCCTGGCCATGTGAAAATGTATCTCTGAACTTGTGTCTCTAAACAGCCACAGGATTTCACAACCTGCTGAGATGAAAGATCAAGCCTCCTCCCTAAGCCTTTGTCCCCAGGTGACATGTCACAAGAGTTCATTGGACTTGGAATGGTACCAATGGTCCCTTGACTAATAATTCCCTGCCTTGGGGGGAGGGGCTGGCTAGAATTGAGCTCTTGTTCAGTCTACCTGGTGGCTTGGCATCTCAGAATGTGTCCACTTGCTTTAGCAAGACTTTCTGCCCTCTGGTTCTCCTGCTTTGATACCATTCACCTCCCTAGGCCACCCGTGTGGGCCGAGAAACATGGCTGGGGCCAGGCTGCATCTGTGTGTGTGCTTTGCTCTCTGTTAGGTGAATTGGACTGTTTTGTCAGTGGCAATGTACAGTTAGCCAAGTTCAGAGCCCAGAGAGGAGGAAATAATGGCTGCATCACACCCATGGTGGGGGGGGGTGTTTTCAGGAACTGGGTTCTTCTGGCATCCCTCCATGGAAAAGGTTCCTGGGCTTGTTGAAACAGAAGAGTTTCAATTTCCACCAAAAATAATTTAAGACAGTCACACACCTGAAATGTCATTGGCTTGAAAAGTCCAGACTTCAGTTTTTCTACTATACAGATATCTTCCCTCTCTCCACCCTTAATTTGTATGAAAATGATTATGATCTAATACTTTTTGTTCAGAAAATATTATAGAAATTTTTAGAAAAGGGTGGGGCAGTTAAGAGGTTGGTGTGGTGCAAGGGGCTGAACAAGCACCCTTTTCTGTTTTATCAGATGACCTTTGATGGCTCCCCAAGAGTCCCATAGTACATTCAATAAATTCTCAGCATCCTACTGTGTGTCAGTTCTGAGATCAAGCACAGAACCTTCCATAATGGAGCTCACAGTCTAGGGCTAGTACTCAAAATGCTCTTCTGCCAGGACTGTTACATTTCCTCCCTGATTTAGGTCTGACATCTCTCAACATGACTATCAAACGGATTTTCTTTTCTTTCTTTTTTTTTAAAAAACTTTTTAATAGTTCTTTTTTTTTTTTTACTAATAAAAGCAATATGTGCTTATTCAAGAAATATTGGATAATAACAAGAGCATAAACACAAATTATATGTCTGATAATCATCATCATCTAGACATATTCAGTGCTGAAATATTGATACATTTTCTCCTAGAACCTTTTGGAAAATGATATAGTTAATCAAAATATAGAAATATCCTTTTTTGCCTTCCTGTCATATCAGAGACATTTTCCCAAGTGGTGAAAAGCCCTTAGGAATACCAAGGCTGATCTTCCCAGGACGACTGGGTGGCTCAGTGTGTTAAGTGTCAGACTCTTGACTTCGGCTCAGGTCATGATCTCACAGTTCCTGAGTTCTGGTCCCACATCGGGCTCTGTGCTGACAGCACAGAGCCTGCTTGGGATCCTCTGTCTCCCTCTCTCTGCTCCTCCCTGCTCACACTCTGTCTCTCTCTTTCTCAAAAATAAATAAACATTTAAAAAATTTGTAAACCGTTTCATCATTCATTTTAGAAAGTAGTCTTTACTTCTTAATGGTACACATAAGGCTTTATACATATGATTTATCCCTGCACACTTCCCCAGGGTTATCTACCTCACTCTTCACCTCTTCCTTCCCTAGTACTCACTCACCCCTATTCACATAACACACAATCACTTGCCACCACCACCCTCACCCCTCGCCACTTTCACACCCCATATCCTACCCGTGTCAAACTGCTTCCAGCTTCCCAGGCTGCCACTGATAGGTTCACAGCTGATCCTTTACTCAGCATGTTCCTCCTGCCAGAGATGCTCTCCCAACAGTGTATCCACTGAAACCTTTTTATTTCTCAATACTCACTTCAAGCATTGCCTCTTCCATCAAGACTTTCCCTTACCCCCTACCCCCCCCCCCATAGAGCTGTCTGCCCCCTTTTTCATCCTCTTTGGTACCTTTTCCATCTAGAATAGCACACAGGATAGGGTAGGAAGCCAAATCTTATTCATCATCATTTCTGCAGTGCTTGGCAAATATTCAGCATGTAGTAGCTATTCAATAAATATTTGCTTGAGTACAAACAAGTGATCAGTCACAGTTTTGTGTAACGAATGCTGTTCAAGGGATGTGTAAAGAGTGCTTAGAGGAGCCTGGAGGAGGGGGATTTTATGGGTATGTGATCCATAATCCAGCAGACAGGAAATATGTTCATTTTTATTGTGGTGACAGCCCTCCTCTCTACTTAATCTATGGCTTTGAATCCTGTTTGCATTTCTGTTCCCTGACCTTGGGCCAGCTGGAGGAACTTTTGTTGTTCTCTCCCTGTATACCTGTTCCTTTGCCTTCTGAGACTGTTGTGGGCTGAGGCCCAGTCAAGGCAGAGATCCTCCTTGTGGCTACACAGCCCACTACTCATCAGACCTGTGCCTGCTTCCCACAGACACTTGCAGGTCACCCCCAGCTGCCCTTGCCTGGGACCCAGTATCCCCACGGCAGCACAGGTAGCCAGGTCTCAGAGGGAATCATATTTGAATTGTAAGCACTGATAGCTAACACCATGATTTGAGGCAGATTACCCAGACTACAGCTCAGCAGACCTTTATTTCTCTCTTCTTCCTCTTGCACTGCCTCTGCCCTGCTCACCCCCTCGCAGAGAGACTTTCCCCAGAGATAATTTCACCTTCTTTGCTCATCAAACAGGTCAGGCAGGAGGATATGGAATGTGTTTCCCTGCATGACACTTTGGACTCCACAGATGTCCTTCACTCCAGAAGGTTGAAAATGGACCACACCAAGCGGGATGCTGCACAGGAGAGCCTTGTAGGCAGAGATGTAAGCCTGTCTCCCCAGGCCTTGCAGTCAGCATCCTGCCAGCCAACAGGCTGCAGAACAAAGGCTGTAATAGGACAATGGGACAAGGAGGAGGGGAAGTAAAAGGCATGTAATCAGATCAATCACCAGCTGGGTCCATCTGCCTGGGGAGCCTGTCTCTGGTGATGGCACCAACGGCCATGTCACATGTGTCGAAAAGCCTGCCTGTCCACTGGTTTGTCAGACCTCAGCACCAGACACTCTCATTTCCTTAATAACTGGTTACAGATCCTGAATCTATAAATTTTACTAAACTCTCCTTGACCTTTCTGTATTTTTAGCCTGTGCTGCTTCTCAGGATAACAACTTCCAAGGTTGAGTACTTGTCCTGCAAAATAACTTATTAACTTATCAAGTTAAAAGAAATTCTCTCTCAAACTTAAAGACACTATCTTCTTAATTCTAGTTTCTACTGTTGGTAACAAATACATGTTTGGCCCTTGGTACATTTTGTTGATTTGGGGGTGGGGTGAGGGGCAAGAAGGTTGACGTCTCTTCTCAGCTTTAAATGTTTCACCTTTAGGAGCGCCTGGGTGGCTCAGTCAGTTAAGCGTCCAACTCCCGATTTCAGCTCAGCTGAAATTAACGGTTCGTGAGACAGAGCCCAATGTCGGCCTCTGCACTTACACCACAGTGCCTGCTTGGTATTTTCTCTCGCCCTCTCTCTCTCTGCCCCTCTCCTGCTCACACATATATGCCTGTGCTCGCTTGCTCACTCTCTCCCTTTTTCGCTCTCTCAAAATTAAAAATAAATATTTAAAATTTTCAGCTTTAAGTCTTAATATTCCCCACCTGTTCTCATATAATGACTGGCCCATTGGGTACCTCATTTGCTTTTTGTTTTATTCCCCTGGACTTTTCCTATTTTCTTTGGCCTATCTTGAAATAGAGCAGCTGAGAGAATTTGGACAGATACTCTAAGTGCAGATTGTTTAAGACCATGCTGAAGTCTTTTGTTTCTCCTACCCTTTTAGACACTCTTTGAGTTTTGTGATTTTAACCTTAGGGCTGATGTTTTCAAAGACTACCTTAGTGAAGCCCTTTCCTTTGAGCCTCAGAGGCTGTGGTAAATAGGCTCCTTGTATGGATAGTTTGGATTAGACTCCCATATTTGTTTTGGAGTTGCTCACCTTGACCTTGATCTCCAGTCTTACTGTTTATCCACATCGCTTCTGCCAGTTTCCATAATGAAATGCTAAGTGTCACTGTGTGATCTTTCTTCAAGGACACCTGTAAAAATGCGAAGATGGGCTCCATTTTTGGGTATGCTTCTTGTTAACAGTTCCATCCAAGGGCAAGGGTGCAGGGAGCTCATCATTGTAGAACTCTCTTAATTTTCAAGGGATCTACAACTATTGTCCATTCCTTAGAAGTCTGTAGAAAGGAGAGATCTGATCTGAAAATTGGAAAAAAAACAAAAACGAAAGCACGCATGGAATAATTGTAGCTTTCTCACTCAAGGTTGTCCGGAGATCTAGCAGATCTGGAGTTAGAATCCTTTGACCTTAACTCTTTGTAGAGTACTATAGTAATCCCTTTACCTTATTCCTCAATCCTGCAACACCTTAATTAAAACAAATTAAAGGAATTCATAAATGAAAGAAAACCCTTGGTAAATAACCTTAGCAAAGATATTTTTAGGAAAGGCTAAATCTATTGCTCTCTTCTTATCTACATCTCATTGGCCTCTTGGGGAAAAAATGTTAGCTGACTTAACAAACGCAGTTTTGGCCAACTAGTTCGCCTATCCCTACCCTCTCCTTATCAATTGGCATTTGATGGTCATACAACTTTTCATTTCTAACTGTTCAATTAGCATAGAATTGCAATGATTAGCATTACCTCTGGCGCTCTTACCCAGCACTGTCACTTTTGACAGTTTTCATTATGTCAGGAAATGGGTAGCCCGTGATGCAGTTCCTCCTGATTGCCTGAGAAGGCGGCAGCTCTGTCTGCTGCTGGAAGAGAGGAACACCTGGCCTCCTGGTACTTTATGGACATTCAGTGAGCACAGCCTTGGCTACCGACCTACCAAGTCAGCTGCTGCGAGGCTGGAGGGGACACAAGGGCTTCCAGATGACTTTTCAATGTACAGTTCTCTAAGCTATTTTTCTTCTCTTTCCAGAGTCTAGAAGGAGGCTCATACCGGGGAAGCCTGAAAGACCCTGTAGGCTGCCTGAATGAGGGGATGACCCCACCCACACCTCCTAGAAACCTGGAAGAAGAACAGAAAGCCAAAGCCCTGAGAGGCAGGATGTAAGTGACTCCCCCAGATTCTATCCTGGTGCGCGTGTGTATGATAGACAACGGGCTAAAGTCAGAGAAAGTTTGGGGAGAATTACACTGTATTTCCATTGATATCATTCATTCTAAGTAAAGGTGACCTAGATCTGTACAGTGTAGCATTGATGAACAAGGCACTGTAGTGGCACTGACTTTAAGAATTTTAGGCTGAGGTATTTTCTGGGAGAAAGCTGCTATTACTGACCAAGTGTGGTTATAACCAGGGTCTGTTAGAAATTTAAAACATACTGATAAAAGGAAACCAACAAAGTTTAGGAAACTCTGGGACTATTACTATGGTCCCATATTAGAGAATCCTTGGCAGAAAGTTGGAAGAGTTTCATCTAAGGAAACCTTTCTCAAAATGAAGGGACATGGTACATAGGAGAAGGGAGCCATCGTGCCAGCCAGCCAAGGCCTAGCTCTGCTCCTTCTCTAAAGGTTTAATTTTGCATCCACTCATGGGCTTAGCTCCAAGAGAATCTCTTCACTTAAATACAATTCACATTGCAGTCCATTTCAGAAAAACCTATTTTTATGCAAGGTTTGATTTATCCACCCTGAAGTGAAGTCAGTCTTTTACTACTTGGGCTGATCGAGAAGATATTGGATACCATGAGTGCAAAACCACAATTCCTCCAAAACTTTAGTTTTCTTATTTAGGGTTTGGCTCTATGTTGGAAGCAGAGCATGATGAGTCTTGGACATGGCCTGGTGTGTGAGAGATTGTAAGCACAGACAACTGGTCCCTCCCTGTTGCTAATTAGTCTGTCCTTCTCCCTCAGACTCCTCATCCTTCAACCTGGTCACAGACATGAGGATTAGCAAAAATGAGAGAGGCCAGGTCCTTCTGTTTCCTGGAAACAGGCAAAGTGAACATTTATAACTTTCTTTCCTGAGAAACTGAAGTAGAAATGTCATAGCCAGGGCCTGGCCTCAGAGCAGGGCTGTCACCTCACAGTGGAGCTGAGCAAGTGTCTCTTCAGTTCCATATTTACCCCTCAATTGTATGGGTACTTAGGGGAAACCTCAAGAAGGGAAGAGAGGTAGAAAAATACCATCTGCAGGTGGAAATTTCCTAGGACTTGTACAAAGCTGGTTCTCTTTTGCTTCTCAGGGTTGTTTTCACATAGATGAGAGCTGAAGCCAATGTTCCGGTCCTTTGTCAAGCCAAAGCAAAACTTAGGTCAGGGAGGAGATCTTTGGGGTAGCAGGTGGTCCTTGGCAAAGCCCGTCACTGCTCTTGTCACTTCAGTTACACAAGCAGTCATGTAAGCCATTGTCCTGCTTCCCAATGTGATATTGTCTGATTTTGCTCCAACAGGCAAAAGTTTGTTACCTATTTAACTCACTTTACCCATTTCTTCTCCCTCTTCCTATTCTCTTCCCTGACTCTATAGCTCTCCACATCCTGAGCTATCCTGAAAATCCAGCTGTTAGAGTATCTCATTGCTCTTGCAGTAACTTATGGCCACAGTGAAAGAGAGAATATATAGGTGTCTGATTGTGAAGGTCGTGTGAGGCTAGAGGCTGGGTCAGGCAGGCAGGTACAGAGAATGGAGACTCAATCCAGACATTGAAGGGTTAAATGGGAGTTCCATGGAGGAGAAATTAAAACAAATAGTTATCTGTCCAGGAGAAGAAAAAAAGGCTGAGAGTGGATTTGATTGTCTTGAAGTTCTAGTCACTCATTCATTCAATAATAGGTGTTAAAGGGCACCTGGATGGCTTGGTTGGTTGAGCATCTGACTCTTGATTTTGGCTCAGGTCATGATCCCAGGGTCATGAATTAAAAATTAAAAATTAAAAAAATAGGTGTTTAATGCCTATTATGCATGGGACATATCAGTAAATAAAACAGCAACAATAAAAGAAAAGTCCTTCCTCTCATGGCAAATTTGTACCATAAAGAGAGAAATAATACAATAAACAGAATAAAAATAAATTATTTAATATGTTAGAAACTGGGAAAAGAAAAAGCATTGAGAGAGATTCAGAGTATGGTTGGGGCCATGCTGCACTTTTATATGGTTCTGACATTTGCACAGAGACCAAAAGGAGGTAAGGAATTAGCCATTTGCCATGGAGGAAAAGTATTCTTGGCTGAGGGGACAGCCAGTGCAAAGGCTCTAAGAGATTTTCTGTGCAAGACCCGCTATTCCTCACCATGGTCAAACGCAGAGGTTAAAAGTATGTCTAAGCTGTAACTGGTAGAAGTTTAGTTGGACCAAAGAATAACATTTACCTCGTAAGTAACCCTTAGTAATAAGAACTGAACGTCTTTTAAAAATGCTTTATTATCAGTTCAGTTTATTTGGCATTTGATCATGCGTGGTCTTGTGATGTCTGTAACTTAAATCTTTTATGCACCTCTTCAGAATGTCTGTTAATGTGTCATTATCTCCCCAAGTATTTCATTAGCCCTTCAAGGGAAGTGATGCCAGGTCTACTAGCAGCACCCAGTCTAATTAGTCCCCTTCCCTTCCCTTGAGGCTAGAAAGCCCAAGACAGCCCTCAATCTGTCAGCAGATAGCATAGGATAAAAATATCCCCTGGAGACCGAGAGCTGGACTTCATCTCCAGAGGGCCCACCCAGGCCCAAATTCCCACTCCCACTTTCCTGTGGGTTTGCTTTTACCACTTTCTTCCAAGCAGTAACATGGGCCACGCTAAAGATATATTTAAATGCTTTTCTTTGGCCTTGCTGGTTCCTTCCTGTGGCCTGTAATGCATGATTGTGGATTGTGTGTGTTAGAGAGAGGAAACTGGTTGGAAGTATTGGACATGCTGATAAAGCAGCATATGTTCCTTTTGCTTTCTCCCCATCACCCTGAGGCCCAGACCCAGGGATTTGTTGGCTTCTCTCTGCGGTATAGATCAAGAATTTCAGATGAATTGCTTCCTGGGGTCAGAACGGTTACAACCCTTATGCTGCGGTCCCCTTTAGACATCCCAGAACTTTATCCCTTCTGCCATTTGGGCCCAAAATACAGTTGTGTGGCTCCAGGTGAAACTCTTTCAAATGTAGCTAGTACGAGTCAGACTCCAGTAAGCTGCACAGCACCCAGCCTGCTCCAGGACATGGCCCTGAGTGTTTTATGTCCAGCTCTTTACTACCTGGACAGAAAGAAAGGGAAGTGCTTGGTTTTGAGGCCTCTGAGTAGCTTGCCAGGTAGCAGGCAACAGTGAAAGAGCAGAGGCTTTGGACTCTGGCACAATAGGTTCACATCCCAACTCTGCTACAGACTTTGTCATCATGGGCAATACAGCCTCAGGAATTTTCACCCATATGAAACGGGGCTTATAGTACCTACCTTGATATAAGCATGAGAAAATCCAGATAAAGCACTGGCACAAAGTAAAGGCTCCAAGAGGAGGAAATCATTAACAAGAAAGAAACCACAAAAGCAAGTGTCCTTGTAGTGGTTAACAACCATCCCCCCCACCCCCCATCTAATGGGCGAGGGGAGACCACTGCATGGAAAGCTGTGATGATGGGATATGGGCAGTTCATCTTTCTGGCCTTGCCTGGGGGTTTGCAGGCCAGTTACCAGGGACACCTCTGAATAATTGTAGCTTCTATATCTCAGAAGCCTCACTTGAAGTTGGCATCTCTGAGGCCTCAAACGGAGGTTATCAAGCAAATGTCTTTCTCCTCTTGATAAGCAAAGAATGGAGTTGAAAGGAAGAAAGAAAAGTCTCACGTTGATCCGTTGGCTGCAAAGCTTTCATAACTGAGTTTTGCCAAAATGCCTGTTATTCCTCCTGTCTTGTGTCAGTACAACTGCTCAGTTATAGGTGAGGGACGAAGGACCATTAAGAAGAGAAAGAAAAAAGGGGGCACCTGGGTGACTCAGTTGGTTGAGTGCCTGACTCTTGATTGCAGCTCAGGTCACAATCTCCCTCTTTGCGAGCTAGAGCCCGGTGTTGGGCTTTGTGCTGACAGCACAGAGCCTGCTTGGGCTTCTCTCTCCCTTTGTCCCTGCCCCTGCCCCTCCCCCCCCCCAAAAGAAATAAATAAACTTTAAAAAAAGAAGAAGAACAGAAAGAAAAGTGCTGAGTGGGGAGCATTGCCATCCCTCTGGCTGTTGTGTGCCTCCTGGGAAAGCCCCTCTGGGTTCAGTGCCCTCCGCTCTTCAGCAGGACCCTCTCACAGAGAGAGTGACAGTAAGCGCCTTCCAAGGGCTGCCTGTGGGGCTTCAGGTGGTCTTGTTAAAGGTGCCAAAGCAACTTTCCTGTCAACTTAAGTGTGAAGATTTCTTGCTTCACAATGAAGAGGATCCTCATTGTTCTTAATCTCCTGCTCAGGTTTGTCTTGAATGAGCTGGTACAGACAGAAAAGGACTATGTCAAAGATCTGGGGATTGTGGTGGAGGTGAGTATGTGGCTCGGGGTGGGTCTGCGGTCACCCACCCAAGGGGCATGTTGGACCATCCCTGGGCTGAGGTGTTTGTAACTTGAGGGTTACATGTTTTTAACATGGTATTTCTAGTCTCTCTAGGTATTTGCAGAAATTAAACAAAAAATGATAAAAAATCAGATGAAACATGTAGGGTTGTTTTTCTTTTCTACTTGAAATATGATGAGAGATTCAAAGGGATATGGGGTCCCAAATGTTCTAGCACTGGGGGAGCCTCTTGGTCAGAGCTGAGTCCTTACATCTTGTTTGTGGTGACCAACATTCTATCTGAAGAACTCTTCTCTGGCGTTTAACCACGTGAACATATATTCTTCAGAACTACCAGTCACCATGGGCACTAAACAGGGCACTCCTAGTGAGAGCTTGGGGCTTAGAGTCTCCCTTAGATTCTAAGGAGGATGTTATGGTTACCGAGAGGACAGACAAAAGTCCACCCCTAAGATAAGACCTTTGACAAATCCACAGGTAGTAGTCAACCTGCTAGTATATAAAACCGCTCTCTCTCCTAGGGACTTGCTTTAGGGGCATTTAGATACCTGGATGAGAAAGACTGTCTCTTAAGGGGGCTGGAGACAACAAAAGGGACCCAGAACTCCATCAGAATTGTGTCTGTCACTCTGCATGGGATAAAGTCCTGGCTGAACACTGAGAAACCACAGAGAGTGGGCACTTGCGCGAGGCTGGGATATGGGGCTTGTACAGAAATCTGTCTCCTGAAAACGGCCTGCTGACTGCTGCCTCTGCCCTCCAGGGCTTCATGAAGAGAATAGAAGAAAAGGGTGTCCCTGAGGACATGCGAGGAAAGGATAAAATTGTGTTTGGAAATATTCACCAGATTTACGACTGGCATAAGGAGTAAGTGCTATGCTGTCCTGTGGCGGCAGGGGGCTATCCTAGGAATCCAGGACCCTCCCATCCTTCCCCTGCATCTGACCTTAGGGGTAGCATAGTGTAGGGTTTGGGGAGACTCTGGTGTCTGAAGGGTGTGGCTTCCTTCCCTTCCCCTTCCCTCCTTTTAGTTTTTTCCTGGCTGAACTGGAAAAATGTATCCAGGAGCAAGACAGGCTGGCACAGCTCTTCATCAAACACGTGAGTGCTTCCTTCCCCCTCTCAGCACCCCCACCCCCCAGCCCCCACTCCTGTGCTTGCCTCTAAAACTTCCTTCTCTCTCCTGTTCTTCCTCGACTTGCCTTCTTCCTCGCCCCTCTCTGAGTTGCCTTTTTTCTAACCTCTTCAGCAATTTGAAAGATGGGGGGTGCTTGCCTCGTGCGTGTACTCTTCTTCCCTCGATATTTAACTGCCCCGGCGCGACCCCGAGGTGTGGAGCATGTCTGTCGTTCTCGGGGCAAGCCTACCGCACCCGGGAGCCTGAGGCGCAGGATGCCTGAGTGCCTTGTCCCCTGCCTCTGCAGGAGCGGAAGCTGCACATCTACGTGTGGTACTGCCAGAATAAGCCGCGCTCGGAGTACATCGTCGCCGAGTACGACGCTTACTTTGAAGTAAGCTGCCTGGGCCTTGCTGGGCCGGGTTGGGGAAGAAGGTCAGGCCAAGGCAGCCACATTCAGAAATGTCAGCCGTATCCATCCACAGGCACCCCTTCTCTCCCCGTCCAGTGCTGCGACCCCTTCGGGACAGGGAGAGCTGGCTCAACGGGCCCTTGGCTTGACTAGATTCCCAGTGACCACCTTTCCTCGGCCCAGTGTGTGGACTGTTCTCAGAAGCCTCTGTTTGCAGAATGATTGTCACCCAGACACTGCTTCAGAAGCTCTGTCCCCCTTCCGTGGCCACAGCTCAGACCATGCCCACCACTTCCTGCCAGGCCCTGGACACTATGTGCAGAGGCCCCTCCTCCTTGCCCCCATGCTCCAAGCCACCTCATGTTCTCTGCTCTCATTCCCAGAGGTTCTGTCAAGCACCATAAAGTGTTTGTTTTGCCCCAACCTGGAAATGCTTATTTTGCTGGAGGAGAGGCAAGGCAGTCCCTTGGAAAGCGCCCTCAGCTGTGTGTTTGCAGATCTGCACTGAGGGCCCAGTCCATTAGGCCTGTGTCCCAGGAGAAGCCCTTCATTCCTGACGTGGGTCCTGGAGCAGCAGAGACAACAGAATACCCACCCCTGCTTATCTGCAGGGCTGGGGTGAGGACACAGGATGGGAAAGTGTTGGACATGCAGAACGATGTGGCGACATGTGCTACGTGTTGTTAATAATACATTAGCAGTTGTGTGGGCAAATCCACCTCTCGCGTGGGTTGAGGATTCTCAAACTTTACTGAAAAAGTGAAGACCTCTCTGTCTCACCTTGAACTCTAATCTCCAGGACCCCAGATCTTTGGCTCCTTTTTTTTTTTTTTTTTTTTCTCTAACATAGCTCCCTTGTGTTCCAGGAGGTGAAACAGGAGATAAATCAAAGGCTGACACTTAGCGACTTCCTTATCAAGCCAATTCAGAGAATCACAAAGTACCAGTTGCTCCTCAAGGTAAGAGATCTGTGAGCCTGAGTCAGAGCCAGAGAAGGGTCTTCTCAAGCTCTGAGCTGGTGAGCAGGTTAGCGTGAGGCTGGTCTCCACCACACTTTTCCTGTGAAATGGTGGGAGAGGCCATCTGTGGGCTTTTACCTTGCCTGTTGGTTTCTTCTGTCAGCCTCCAAATAAATTGCATGCATGTCACTCCTGCCTTTAAGGTTGGTTTTTAGTTCACTGTCTTTCTTTCAATTCACTTTCTTCCTTTGTCACCATCACTGACTTGGGACCTTTAAAAAGTAAAAAAATAGAGCATAAAATCAGAGCAACCCCAAGGAGAAAGAAAAGCAAAGGCAAGACCCTAGAAAGCTGAGATGAGTAATACGTACAATTTGATCATATTTTACTTTTTACAATAGTTTGATTTGGTTTGTCTTACAGAATATGAGGTAAATAGAAGAGAGAGATTGAGTTTTCCTTTCTCCAAGCCTTTCTGGACATAACCACTCCCCCTTCCTGTTCACGGTCTCCACCTCCCTTCTTCCCTCCCTCCCGACCTCCCTTTTCCCATAACTTTTAATCTCTGAGTCTTTGGGGTTTTTCTCCATGTTGTTGTTTCCAATATGACTCATAAGTTCATATCTCAGCTTCTACAACGTGCTGCCATGTCTGTTGGGGAGGAAAGTAGCCTGGGTATCATCATAGGCTTTATGATGCTGGGGTTTTTTTTTTAGTGCTCTGTTTTTCTAACTGATGTCACCCTCCCGCACCCATCCCCGCTCCCCCCACTTGCTAGGACTTCCTGAGATATAGTGAGAAGGCTGGTTTGGAGTGTTCAGATATCGAGGTGAGTCTTCTGTTCACAACGCTGGCTGCTCTCGGAGCCAGTGTTGGCTGTCTCTAAGGGGGAAGAGCGGGCCCTAGAGGACCGGTGGTCCAGCCGATTCCTCTTGGTGAGAGCCCCCTGCAGACAGGTGCTACACAGGATGAGAAATGGCAAGTAGTAATGAACACACTGAGTGTTTTCCTGGAACCTGAGAATTCTGTCCTGGGACAGAGCAGAGTTTCGCCCCACTCCTCTTCTCTGTGTGGCTCCAGTGACATATGGTGAGAAAGGGGGATATCTGAGACCCTAACATCTGTCAGAGATTGAGCATTTGAGTGTGCAGTCTTATCCACGAATCCAGGTACTATTTGAGTTCAACATGTTAAATATCCCATTTTCACTCCCTCTTCCACCCCCAAGGATTACTACCTAACTGAAGTCCTTTGAGACAGTGTCACCATGGGGATTATTTTAAGCCAGAGAGGTTACAGACCATTCTGGCAGGTTATTTTAGGTTAAAACCTCTAGTGTTTCACAAACCAGACTAAGCTGTCGCTTAGGCAGCCGAGAAGCAACAGAGAGAAGAAAGAAAATATGAGAAGGAAGGAGAATTGCTAAATGAATGTGGGAAGGAGGAAAAGGCAGGCTGGGTCACATGTGGTCACTGGTTCACTCAGAGCCCTGTATACCCCAGCTGGATCAGAAACCCCTGCCCTTTTCTAGGAGTGGGCGGCAGGGACCAGGATCCTTTCCCAGAATGAAGGAGCCACTAGGAGGTCACAGAATTGTCCTAAGCTTCCTGCCTGAGTGCTCATCCCCTTCCTGAGCTGCTGTTGTTCTTCCCCACAGAAAGCGGTGGAGTTAATGTGCCTTGTTCCAAAACGCTGCAATGACATGATGAATCTGGGACGCCTGCAGGGCTTTGAGGTGAGCCCTTTAGAATGCTTCCAAGCCTCTCTCTCCTGGACAGCGGGAGCCTGGGCTGTGAGGCGGCTTCCCTTTGAGGCCCTGTGTCTGCCTCCTTTGCCACCTCCACTTACCATCTGTGCCTTTGTTCCAGGCCCCTCTGGCTCACGGGCCCAGGAGGTTTATCTGTTTAGGATATGCAGTGATAAGGCAGCGAGAGAAAGTTACAGAGCAGTCCACAAAGCTGGAGTCACAATTCCAAGGGGGCTGGAAAGACCCAAAGTTCCTTGTAACTGTGGACCTGGCAGTGACCTCTTTCCTTTTTCTTGCTTGAGAAGTGAGTGCTGGGAATCTGAGGGAGCATGGGACTATGGGACTATGGGTACACTCGAGGGAAAATGGAACACTTCTTTTTTTCTTTGAGAGGATTCTTCTAATAAAGAGGTCCACATATTGACTATCTTTTCAGTTAAATGAACATTTAAAGCTTTAACACATCATGTGCACATTTCTATTCTTTGAAGAAGAAAATTTAATCTTAAGAGAAACAGCCAGAAGTCCCCCAGAATTTTGGCTTCCGTGAATGGACTTGTTTGCTAGGGCTGCTATGACAAAGTCCCGCTGAGTGGCTTAAACAATAGAATTTATCATCTGACTTTTCCGGAGGCTAGGAGTCTAAGATCAAGGATAGGCAACAGTGATTCCTTTTGAAGGCTATAAGGATGGATCTGATCAGGCCTCCCTCCTTGGCTTGTAGATTGCCGTCTTCATGTTCATATGACATTCTTCCTGTGTCTTCACATTGTCCTCCCTCTGCACATTTTTCTGTGTCCCACTCTTCCCTGTTTATAAGGACACCAGTCACATTCAAGTAGCACTCACCCTAATGACCTCACTTTAACTTCATTCCCTCTGTAAAAACCTTACATCCCAATATGGCCACATTCTGAGATACTGGGACTTCAACATATGAATTGGACAAGGGGAGCAATTCAACCTATAATGGTGAACCTTTGAAGAAAAAATTGACATTCCTACTTTAAGCTTGCTAAGTGGCTGCTATTAGTTTATATCCGAACCTCATATGCTAACTACATATAATCTGTTTTGAGAATTAATATGATAAAATTGGAACTGACACAATTATTGACTGGCATTTAATAATTGTTGAATGACTTAGAGAAAGGTGGAGATCTATTAATCTTGTTTCCTGATGATCCTGCAACCTGAGACTTGATTATTACTTTCTAAAGAAAAGGGGTTCCTAAAAGTTGAGATAATAAAGAAAGTTATAGCTTTTTTTCCTAGCTAAATTAGAATAGAATAGAATAGAATAGAATAGAATAGAATAGAATAGAATAGAATGTATATAGAATATAGAATAGAATAGAAATGAGGCAGACTAGGGGCACCTGGGTGGCTCAGTTGGTTAAGTGTCCAACTTCGGCTCAGGTCATGATCTCACAGTCCGTGGGTTCGAGCCCTGCGTCAGGCTCTGTGCTGACAGCTAGCTCAGAGCCTGGAGCCTGCTTCAGGTTCTGTGTCACCCTCTCCCTCTGACACCCCCCCCCCCGTTCATGCTGTCTCTCTCTCTCTCAGAAATAAATAAAACATTAAAAAAAATAATAAGAAATAAAGCAGACTGACCTGTAAGTAAATTTAGGAGATGCTACATTCAGGTTTGGGTTAATGAGTTGGATTCATGATGTTCTTGAGTCAAGATCTCTTGTCCTCCTTGCCCTCCAAGGCCTTTCTGGGGTCCCCATCTGCCACTGCTTTGTTGTGACCAGGAACTATGTGGAGTTTTTCTTTGCTGTTTATTTCTCATAGATTCCTGGTTCTCCACAGTAGATCTGTGACATTAGAGTAAGCAGGGATTTGCAGCAGAAATCTACCCTGAGTTCTTACATGGTTTTTCTCTAGTCATACTGGATGAAGTTTTACATTTTTTTCCCTTGAGACTATGCTAGGTCTGGGGCTATTCTGAACAAACCAAGTAATCCCTTTTGCTCCTAAGCCTTGATGTCCTCATGTTTCTGAGGAGGAGTCTGGTTTGACTTTCTTTGAGTTTTTGGAGGTGCTGACCACTGACAAGGGAAGAGCATCTGACTGTGTTGGCTCAAGTTAGACCCCATAGGAGCTGTGTCATGCATGCACATGTGTGTCCACAGAAAGCCACACACAGACTGCAAAATTGTCTTCTCTTTTCAGTCAAGCACCACCATCTTCTTTTTCCATCCAGTCACAGGGAGTCTGCTTTGCATTCCTTCGGCTAATTAAAAAGGACCATGAATGTTCTTATGTCCCTTCTGAAGCCCAGGGCTTTAGACCAGGGAGAAGTTAGCCTCCCCATATAGACTCTCTGTTCTTAAATCTTCTAGCTTTCCCTTCAGCATCGGCAGGGCTATCATTCATGGGTCAGGCTCTTATGTAATATTAATGGAGCTTTTAGAGCTTTCCTGGCTAGCTGGTCACTGGCTTAATATTAACTCTGGACCAGGAGAGAGATAAGCCTGTTTGGCTGCCGACCTTGGCAATAAGGAGCCATGATCCAAGCAGAGGGCAGGAATTACTTGGGAATAGGGAAGAAAAATGACACGTGTGCTGTGTACTGTTTGGAATAAGGCATCATCTGTAGCAAATGGCTCACATTTTTACTGAAGGGTGAAAGTCATCACCTGAGAAAGTATGGTTCAGAGGTGGCCCTCTGGCTGCTATCTCAGGTGTTGGTGTGTTCTTGCTGCAGAACAGTAGAGAAATCAGGGGTCTCCAATAGGATCTGTGAAGACCTGCTGGGTTGGGCTATATTCCCTTCAAAGATGTGAAAGTGTCTCTGAAAATCGGGCTAGAAACTGGCAAACCAAATAGGCTCCACTCCCTAGGCTGGCAAGTGACCTGCTAGCTGGAAGCATTTTAAGAAGGATCACAGGACCCGAAGAAACATCTGTCAGCTTATATGACATGGGCATCTGCGTATGCTACTCCAACTTTACCTGTTGATTGGTAGCAGAACACAAAGACATCAGAATTAGACTAATTCTAAGACTCCATCCTGAAATAACAGGAGAGGAGAATGCCCAGTTCAGATTACTTGTGGTCCTGCCTATATCCCTTCCCTTGGCCACAGTTGGGACATGGCCATAAGAATAACCAAGGTCCGAGAGAGCACCCAAATAGACAAAATTATGAATGAAAATGGACTTATTACAACCAACCCCTCAGAAATACAAGCAATTATCAGGGAATACTATGAAAAATTATATGCCAACAAATTGGACAACTTAGAAGAAATGGACAAATTCCTAAACACACACTCACTACCAAAATTCACACGGGAAGAAATAGAAAACCT